TTTCCACAATGTGGCTCTCGAGCCAAAACAATTGCCCACCCTGCAGTAGAATATCACAATAATCTTTAGGCAACATGCCTTACCAATTAAAGGAATTGGACTTCATTTGGAAGACCTTCCATCCAATTTTCCTTATAACGACACAAATTCAATTACTAACAGTAAGATAATGTCTCGGTGCTAAAAGCGAAAGTGGAACAATGACGAAATACTCGAATGATTAGGAGACTATCAAACTCGATCCTTACTTTATATAGGATCTAATGTACGGTTCGATTTAATCTTATACTTATTTAATCTCATTGATCAATCGTCACTTTAAATATTTCCCTTAGTAAGTATTTAATCACAATGGTTCAATAATGATACCTGTCAGTAACAATCTCACCTGATTTCTGGTTTAAATTCACTCCCACTCTCCTCCTAGCTAGAAAACCTGGGCTATATATAGTAAACTTAATTTACATTTCATGGTTTCTTCTTCAGAAGGGTTGGTTGTGAATAACCCGAATTGATAGTCCTAAGATTTCCCAAGAGGGTTAGAGGAAGGTACACGAATAGATCCTTCCGACACCCAGTTAGGCAACGAAGGAAAATCGGACGAAAGCAAGGAAATAACAGATATCCTGAAGAACTCCATTGAAGAAACTGCTAAAAGCAAGGAGGCCAAGCGGAGGGAGCTTCTTTCTCTCCCCCTCCCCCTCGTAATTTAACTGCTTGTCCGTCTGGACCATAAGACACAATTTACAAGTGTAGATATTAAAAACAATTTTGATAATGAAAAAACCTTAAATATAACAATGAACACAATGAAACAGACAACGCCAATAAAACGAAGAAAAAAAAAAAAAAAGGAAAGGAAAACAAAATTAATTCTCCGACGACTTTGCATTTCTCAAAAAAAAAAAAAACCTGACGTTAATATTGAACCAATTTTCCCAGCTTGAACAAGACGTGGAGCAACCACTCCTAACCAATTCCGAGCAAACTTCTCCCAAACCCAAAGCACCCACACCGAATAATGCTGAAAATTAAAAGTAATTATTAAGAGCAGCTTAATACAATTATTTAAAAATTCCCCGACATGAAAAATAAAACTTTCGGTGAATTTATCAAATTATATGTTAATAGGATGACGAATATTGGAGTCTTACTCTCGACTTGGCGGAGGGTAGTGACTTTGAAATTGCATCATAAAACCCAAAGTAGAAAAACTTATTCAAATTGTCAAGAAAGGAGAAGATATTCAAAAAATAATTCAGGGGAAATTGTATACACTGTTATCAGCTGTATCTATCTCACATATAAGAAAACTCAATTCCCACTTCCATTTATCCAAGTTACTTTACCAAGAAAACCGAAACATCTTCGAACTAACCAACCTCGGTTATATGCAAAGAAAGGTTGAGGAATTCCTCGTTATAAAAGTCACTTAATGTTTCAATTGCAATAATTTTTATCATAACGCAGCTTAACTGTCATAAAAAAACCCGGATGTTTAAAGTGTGGAAAAGAACAAGCAATTAAAAACTGCGAAATAAAAGAAAAGCAGGATAACCCTTAATGTATTAGAGCTGTAAGGAATACGAACATACAGCCTACTACACCAAGTGCCCAAAATTCCCAAAGACAAAAAATAAGGGTTTTCCCGTCGAAAACAGATTTAAAAATAACACATTCAATTACAAAATGCGAGAAAGAGTATCCAACGCTAACATTGTTAGCGGAGTTACCCACGACTTTTCCCTTTAGAATAATAATGAATCCCCAAATCATGACAATGAACAAAACAATAGTTTTCAAAGCATCCAAGGATTCGACCAGAACCAGGAAGACAATATCTCTGATTTTCTTCAAATTTTTCAACTTTTCAATAGAATTTCTAGCTTAGTAAAAAGAATGCCAAAAATTTTACAGTTACTACCTAAACTTAAAGCGGTTAAAACAGATAAGCAAAAAAGCCTGTCTACTAGTTAAATTCCTGTTAAATGATTAATAAATTTTCTTTCACTTAACTTTAAAAATTCCACTTTGATTCTTTTAATTCTATATATATTTTCTCCTTAATATTTTAAACTCCATTCATTTCTTTAACTCTGAATCGGGCAGTCAACACCAATAGCTCACTTACTACGTCCAATAAAAAGGCTCTATATCCAAGAACCCGAGTTTTCTCTCTGCCACAGCCTACTCCATTGGTTATTTTCTGACTGAAGCCTCAATTCCCCTAACCATCCAAGTCGACAACACAATGCCACATCTCAGCTTCAGATAGGGGATAGAGAGCTGCTAACGCAGCCCAGTTGTCTCACGAAAACGTTAAGAGAGTCAAGTTTTGTATCAATAAAGAAAAAAAAACATTTTGGGTATTTCGAAAAAAACTTTACTTCTTTTAAAAATATTTTTTCTTGCTATATAATGTAATGAGACCAAAAATAGCATTATTATGATATTTAATGACGTAACAATTGATTTGCATTCAGTTTTCATTTTAGAAAGTGAAATTATTTCTTTTTTACCAAAAAGCTATTATTCTTCTTTATGGGGACTTGGTACCCTCAAAATGACCAACCTATTGTTTCTTTTTTTCTTTTTATTTTATCTTATTCTTTGCATTATTATCTTTCGTTTGATATATTATTTGTGCAAGTCGGAAAGTTAGAAGTTGAAGAAAGCTTCATTTGAAAACAAATTAGGCAATTTGGCCACGTCCCCTTTTTAGAAAAAAAGCTAAAAAAAAAAGCGTTATGATAAAAAAATTTATTTTATAAAGAGAAATAATAACTATAAAAAAAAGTGTGTGTGTACTTATGTACGCACGTAAGAAGTTATATTTCTTTGGCGTAACAAGATTAAAATCTTTCTAAAAATCTTTAGCAGGGCAAGCTGGGCCAAGGACAAAGGCAGTCACGAGCAGAGTTGAACGATACTAACCTTCAGTCAATCGGACCAGCCAAACCTGAGATAATCACGATTTAAATAAATTTAAACACCCCTGCCCAGGGACAATAGGACCAATAACATGGGGGTATCAGACTGTATCTGGAGATGAAGTGAACCGAATGTGACATCTGACCTCATATTGAAAGTCTCGGCGGGAAGAATCGTTCCTGAGAAAATTAAGACATCCGCCTGAAAAGCCTCCGAGTTATGGTCATTTTAAAATAATTAAAACATTTAAAACAATTAAATAAAATATATAGAAGCAGGGCACCCAGCAACTCGAACCTGGGACTGGTTGTGAGCAAACACAAGAGTAATCCATTAGAACCGGTCCGGAGTCTGTAGTTGAAAAATGGGCGGCGCTAGCTCGGGAAAGGAAAACAAAACAAACTCCCCCCGGTGGGGGATAACTGTGACGTAAATGGTCACGTACATCCCAACGATACAAAGAGTAGTAAGTGATTCCAAAGTTTCATCCTTCTATCTCTGTAATATCGTAATGTCATCAAAAAATCGAACCCCATAGAAATAACATGGGGATTCTAATTTTAGTTATAACGCCCCGCCCCCTAAGTCCACTATCTACACACGAATTATAACAGATGAAACAGCTCAACAAGGAGAACTTATGGTCCGAGTTTCATTAACAAATCTCAAAAATCCTCGGAGCTATGCGGGATTTAAAAAAAATTATAACTAAAATAATTTTAAAATGTTAAATATGGGTAAAGAAATAGGGCCATGGTCCTGAAAAAATATATCTAGGATACTCATAGGAAGAACAACCGAATCCAGCCGGTGCGGTCGACCAAGGTGGCATAGGATTCGAATTATTTCTGGGGAAGCCCTGTTGGGGGAGGGGGCCAATTCCACTATATATCCTACCAAATATGGTGGACCTCTAAAAATCAAGTTCCAAGCTCAATTCCTTAGGGGAGGGGTGAAATTTTTTCCAGTCCCCATAGGATTAACATGGAAGCATGATGTTATAGTGCTTAAACCCTCCCCATGCCTACACAATGGGAATGAAGCAGATACTCGATGGGTCTCAACGAGTAGAACACTTGGTTCAAATCTCAAGTCCGAGACTCGAACAAGAGCCAAGATATTGTGAATTTAAACAAATTTAAAAAGTTTAAGACAATTAAAAACCATGGAAGAAATAGCTGTATGAGCATGAAATCATAATAACTGGAAGAGCAGATAGAGAGGGATCGAATGAGTCAGGTCTGAATGGACTGTGAGGCTCGAGTGCCGAGATATTGGCCAAGAAGCTGTAGAAGGGGGGGATGCGTCCCAACAGTATGGTTTATAACAATAGTTATTATGATCCCCCAGATATAAGCCCCATAGAACCAAAATAGTGGCATATTAAAATATTAGAAAACGGTTTTCACGAGCGCATCGGTGTCGTGAAGGTATGCGTGCGCATCCGTGTCGGTGTGTGCGCGAATCGTAAAAATTTACCCTAATCTCATCCTTTTTCCCTAACGCCCAAAAAGGAGTATAACTTCGAAAATAAGTATATACGAATACAAAAGGCTCTTATAATTTGCTACAATGTAATATAAATTTGTTTATGTTCATCGCAATGTGTTCGTAGTAAATATACATCTATAATCATATATTTGCAATTGCTATTTAAATTGGCTTACGTTTTATGTACATGAAACACAATTTAAAGATTAATTTATTAATTTTTTTAAAATTTCCTGTAAGTATGTTTGGTTTAATAACAAAAAGTGTTCAAACAAATGCATCTCAAAAGCTCCGTAGGCGAAGGACGATCTTTCCCTACTAATAGTGACGTCACAAATCAGCGCAAAGCAAAGGTTCGCAGACGCGGGGGTATAGCTCAGTGGTAGAGCATTCGACTGCAGATCGAGAGGTTCCCGGTTCAAATCCGCGTGTCCTCTTTTTAGGGAAGTGAAGAGAAATGTTTTTTTGAGCATTTCGAAGATGGCAATGATCTGTCCCGTTCTGTATATTTCTACACAAAGTATATATATATTTTCGTATCCGTTCCTAAGGAACACAAAGCAAAGGTTCGCAGACGCGGGGATATAGCTCTGTGGTACAGCGTTGGACTGCAAATCGAGAGGTCCTCGGTTCAAACCCGCGTGTCCTCTTCTTCAGGGAAGTGAAGAGAAATAGTTTTTTGAGGATTTAGAAGGTGGGAATGATCTGCTCCGTTCTGTATATTTCTAGACAAAGCATTTTCGTATCTGTTCCTACGGAATGCAAAGCAAATGTTCCTTGACGCGGGTGTATAGATGAATGGTAAGGCATTCGACTGCAGATCAAGAGGTCTCTGGTTCAAACCCGGATATCCCCTTCTACAGGGAAGTGAAGAGAAATATATTTCTGAGAATTTCGATTTGATTGATTGATTGAATATTAACGTCGCACTGTTCAGCTACACGAGGGCTTTTGGCGACCCGGACCCACGTAATTACGAACCATCCGAAGTAGCAGGGGACGACACCTGAGTAGCACCCCTCTCCTAACTACCACACCACACCAGCTTGGGAGCTCTCGACAGATTTAACGTGCATCGCTGCCCTACACGGCTGGTCTTTTGTGGTACTGGGCTCGAACTCGTGACAAGGCAAGGCAAGCCACGATCCGATACCTATACCACTCGGCTACCGTGGCCACCTGAGAATTTCGAAGGCGGAAATGATCTGTCCCGTTCTGTATATTTCTAGACAAAACGTTTTCGCATCCGTGACGGTGTACGCACGCATTGTAAAAATTTACTCTCATCTTATTTCTCTAACGTCCCAAAAGAAGTATAATTTCAAAAAGTTTGTGTAATATATAAAAAGCGGAATATTTTTTCGAGGCAATACACACAATAATGTAATTTTTCTTCTTTGTGAAATGTGTGCATGTAAAATTTTTGAGAATTATGGCATTTTATATTAATAATTTCATAATTTTAGTTCTTATTCCTGATATGTTTTTCATACAAATGTATTACTTCAGTATTATGTGAAGAGAAAAAACTAAACTTTCTGTCATGACAGAAAAAAATTTTTAACACTTTCTTGAATTTTCTTGTGCATTGTACAGCTGTAAAATTGATCATTTTTTAAAAATGTATGGGATGAAAAATACTAAAATGCAATTTTATTTTCAAGAAAAAATATATAACTAATATCTTAAAGTTGTATTTTAAATTTATTTAAGCTTATGGTATTTTTTTTTTCAGGGTATAAACTTTAAAAGTGGTTTTCTCAGTTTGTGTTTTTCGAAACATTGGAGTGCATTCAAAATGCTACTTCTTCCCACAACTATTAACCAATCATTTCCATTTTTTTGCTTACATTGTCTTGTATATAAAACGTAATGACGTAGTATTGTAACAAAATTAAGGTCATTTTGCTGTAAATGAATACTTTTTTAAAAAATTAAAATGTAAGAGGTGTTAACTTTTAGTTGATTTTTAGCATGTATATCAACATTTTATTTTTTTTCTCCAAAACGAACTAAGTTATTGTAAAATCGATCCCTAAAGTTGTTTATAACATCCATAAGAATATTACAAAAAAATTTCAGGTTAAAAAATTAATAATTACAAAAAGAGTAGGATTTTAAAATTTTCCAAATTTTCTTCAAAAAATTTAAATTTTTAAATTTGTATGAATAATATGTGAAAAATTTCATCACGTATCATTTTCTTGAATAGAAATACTATATAAAATGTTAAAATATAATTTTTAAATACATAAAGAAAGAAAGTAGCTCATGTGGAAAAGTCCTCATAAAATAAAGTTTAAAATATTTTCATTTTCAAGAAAAATATCTTGTTACATTACTATTAATAGTAAAAGTAGTTAAATAACAAATCTAATGTTTAACTTTTTCCAAGATACCTTTGAAACGAAATCATAATCAATTCTATTCAAATAGAGAGTGACATTGCCACACAACCTCTCCCTTCAAATTCTAGTTTTATTCTCCTTTATATAAAAAATAGTGATTACACCAGTGTTTCTCAAACTGTGGGGCGCGCCCTCCCTCCTAGGGGGGCGCGAGCATATCAAAAAGTCGAGAATAAAAGATTATTTTTTAAAAATTATAAAAATTTACTTCAAGGAAGCAAAACAAAATATTTCTGACATAATAAAAATACACGTTATACTTTTATTGTTTTTTGTTTCAATTTAAAAATTAGGAACGAAAAGCAACATAACTTTTCTTATTACTTAAAAGTATATAATTTACTTAAAGTATATATTACTTAAGAATATATATATAACTTATATATATATATATAAAATATCTATTACTTGAAAGTAACGTATACAAAATTTAATACTTATCTTGATAATTTGAGTTTATAATTGGGATCGTATTGTAAAATTTTAGCGTCAAAATTCATTATTATTGCATTCAATACTTTGTTATTGTATTGGGGGTTGCAAGTATTGAAGTTTGAGAATCGCACAACACACTGATCAGCAATAAATTATAAGCGATGAGCTGGCTGGCGCCAATGTAGACAAAATAAAGAGGAATGTTTCGCTTCACCTTTTTTTAAAAATATTTGTTCCATATTGTTTGAAGCATGTCACATTATTTAACATTATTTATTTGAATGTATACCGTTGAACATCTACAATGTTTTTGAAAGCAACAAAAGTTCTTGATTAGAAAATACACATAATTATAGGTTTATCACAGATATTTGGAATAAATAATTTGTATAAAATTCAGTATAAATATTAATTTTGTACGTGAAGACAAATCTTCTTTTCGAAATCTTTAAAAAGGTCTATTTTATCTTTTTCAATTTTTCACGTGGTTATTAGAAAGTCTGGTTGATTATTGTACAATGGGATAAGTCGGTAAAAGTCTTCAAAAATCACCCGAGTAAAAACTGCGTATGAAGAATGAATTAAACATAATTGCTGTTTGTATATTTTGGCTTATTTCTTTTATTAAAAAAGGTAATACATAGACTGAAATATGTTCACAAGAAAGAGCTGAGTTTTAGAAAAAAGAATTTCTCATAAAAATGAAACATGAAATAAAATAGATTTATTTATTTATTTTTTCACATTGTTTCAAATCAGTGCTAAACTGAACAATATTTTCTCTGTCAGTCCCTGACTATTTTTCAAACCTCTCTATTTACACTTAAAGATTATTCATCCACCTTTTTTGTATAATGTAAAAGGGAAAAGATAAGTTTAATTTTATTTTTTAATTTTGAGCTTTTTTCTAAGTATTGTGACGTGTTGATTAGGCTTAAAAATTCTAAAATATAAATGTTATAAAAATCGTTTGAAATTTTCAATAATTATTTTAAAAAATTGGGTGTGTGCTTATGACCACACGATAGAATGGAAAACTTCTGATTTATTCTGTGCAAGAGCATTCAATTGTTTGGAGTGTGATTCCTGTGATGCTGAAATATCTTTAATAAACTTTAAAATACAACTACTGTGTGCTATGGAAACCACGATTGATTGAGCTCCGCGTTTGGATCGACGATCATGAGTGATTACAGCTGTTGGACTTTTCGCCGACTGAAGAGAGAGAGAGAGAGAGAGAGAGAGAGAGAGAGAGAGAGAGAGAGAGAGAGAGAGAGAGAGAGAGAGAGAGAGAGAGAGAAAAGCGAAAAATGCTGCCTGCGAAAAGCTTAGAGATACAGTCCTTTGGTATCTCGAGCACTTCACAAGTCACTTCTCGATGAAAGCCTGGCAAGTTCACCTACTCACAGAATTCCTTCTCCGAAATCTACCGGATGAGCACCCAAGCCATGGCTATGAAAAGGGAGGAAATGATGAAAGTGAGCTTAAAACCCTCCCCATGCACTAGGAGCGGTTGCAATGAGCATAAAATTCCCACTACCTTGGTAGTTGAAGAAATTAATTCTAACAATCCCATTTCGGATGAAAAACCGAGTGTAAAAGTTAAAAGAAAAAGTTATGTAAAAAGCGCAAAATAAAGCAAGGAATCCACGGAAGAGTTTATCTTTCTAAAAAGACAGCCAGGCCCGTTTCCCGTCATTAACCAGGATCCCATAGAAACGAGAAATAATTTCTCGGACTTAGAAACAAGGATGTCAAACATCCACTCCCGACTAACAATAATGTAACTTCTGATGCTTGGTTACTCCCTCGACTAAACTTCCCTGTCATGCTTAAAATCAAAAGAATTTCCGCGATCAAAATTAAATTAATTTTCGAAAAATTCCCAAAAATTCGCAATAGGAGCTTTGCCGGTGAAGATATGGTAAAATTTACAAATGATTTTTGAAGGAATATCGAACTCTTATCCACTTCTTGAAAGTGGATAAAAGAATTCAATTCTATGTAATTAACCGTAAACCTGACAAACCGATAAAAGCTGTAATAAAAGGTCTCGAGTTTCTCTAAAATCGAAGATATCACAAACGATTTGTAGAAAGAAGGTTTTTGCATGATGAAAAGCTGTGCGCGAAAAGCAGCCTCGAAAAGAACAAAAAAACCCTTCCATATTTTCTAATATACTTCTCCCGAGAAACGCCAATAATAGCAAAATATTTGATTTAACAAAATTAGGTTACTTACAGGAAGTGAAAGTTGATGGTTACCTCGTAGAGGAAGTAACCCAATGTTTCAACTGTAATAACTTTTCATACTGCCGCGAACTCCCACATGAACCCAGATGTTTAAAATGCGGTAAAGCGCTACGAGAAACTGCCAAATCAAAGAAAGACAGGAAAACCCCTTTTGTATTAACTGCGGGGGGCTACGGTCATTCGGCATGTTTCACAAAAAATTCCCAAACCGAAAGGTGCCCCCTTCTTTGGGATCCAATGAAAAAAAAATTTCGCCAGTAAATGGATTAAAGAAGGAATTTCTTTCGCTAACATTGTTAGTGGAGAAATCCCAGTCAAACCCCTACTAATAATGAAAATAAAAATGATAACAGAAAGAAGGTTCCCCGTGGATTCCTTAGCCAAGAAAATGATACCTCTGACTTAAAACAAGTTCTGGAACTTTTTAATGTCATTTCAAACCTAGTAAAGAAAAAATCCTAAAATTCTCGATCTTCTCTCTAAATTTAAAAATGTCAAATTCGGACAGAAGAAAAAACCTGCCTACTAGCAGAAGCTCTCATGGATAAAGTTTAA